GAAGGGCGAGGGTGCCCCTCGCCTGTACACAACGGAACCATAAATGTGCTGGCGACAGAGACGAGGGCGGGAGGGGGCCCTGCTCTGCCCTCGGACCTCCTCATTTCAGAGCCCACGTGCAGCGCTGGTACTGCCCGCAGAGGTCACCAGGCTGTGTTTAGCAATGCTGGGCGGGTGTCCTGAGACCCTAGGGGCTGGGGAAGCTGAAGACATACAAAGAGATTAAAATTGATTTTATTTTAATATAATTTTGATTAAAATTCTGTGTGATTCAGCAGCAGTGTTGTGGTGAGACCACAAACACCATACACATCTCTCTTTATCAGTTAAAAGGGGAAGGGGCTTACTCCCATTACTTTCTTCCAGCCCTAGCTTACATCCGAAAGAGGTGGTGGAGGTTCTGGAGCAGTTCCTGCAGGAGGGACGGATGTCGGCTCTGCTGTGGGAGGTCTGTCAGCAGCCAGCCCAGGCTGGCTCCCCGGAGCTGCAGGAGGTCCTGCTCAACAGGGTTGTGTGTTTGCCCGACCACGTGAGCAATAAACTGGAAGGGAAAAACCCACCAGTGTTCTTCCCCCAGAACTACTTCCCTCTTTTGGGTGGTGCAATTATCCAGGTGCTGCAGAAGATTTCGGATTCTCTGAGAGGTAAGATTGCAGGACTGTACTATGGAGATGGCACTTCTGAAGAGGTGTTTTGTGCATGGACCACCTTGGCTAGTGGTTGAAGTACAGATAAGAGGTATTGCAGAGCTTCAGGTTCATCCTTCAGGCTAAAGGTCACTGTGCTTAAAAGCATAAGATAGCAGAGATGAGGAAGATGGCCAAGGTTTTTTAAAATCCCACTGAAAACTGCAATCCTACAAGTCATCTATTAGGACAAGGGGGAATGGCTTTAACCTGCCAGATGAGAGACTGAGATGAGCTCTGAGGCAGAAGCTCTTCCCTGTGAGGTTGCTGAGGTGCTGGCACAGGGTGCCCAGAGAAGCTGTGGCTGCCCCATCCCTGGCAGTGTTCAAGGCCAGGTTGGACACACGGGCTTGTATCAACCTGGTCTAGTGGAAGGTGTCCCTGCCCATGGCAGGGGGGTGGGACTAGGGGGGGTTAAGGCCCCTTCCAGCCCAAACCAGTCTGGGATTCTGTGATTTGTTGCCAGAGCTTAATTGTGGTAATTTGGTCTGTGCTGAAGGTCTGTGCTAAAATGGAAAATTTAAATGGTACTGAATGAACCAGTGGCCGTTATCAGTGTGTTAAAGAGGGACTGAGCTACTTTAGTCCTCTCACTCTCACTGTTTTGTGCCTGAAGGCAGTTGGTGGAGTGAGGAAGAGATGATGCTTGAAGAGTAAAAGTTAATCTGTTTTCAGTCTTCAGCACTTGTAGAACCTCCTTAAGGTTGTTTGAAGTGTGCTGGTAATGCCCTTGTTAAGCTTTTGTCTCTTTTATCCCAGGTGGCTTGGATTGCTCAATCTCTTTTGTTTCTCATGTCCTGGGGAAGGTATGCGTTCATGGAAGACAAAGTGAGTGTTTTACAATCTTGTTCCGGGGAGGGGAAAGTCTGTTTTATCATATTAGAGTAGAAGGATGACAATGATGATTGGCAGAGGGAGTGGGAGACTGGCCAGTTAATGTTTTGGGGGTTTCATCAGTTGGGATATACAGGTTGCTCTCTGCTTTCAGAGGCCACTCAGCTACGTATCCGATAGATATTGATGCTTTTCTGTCAGCTGTTGTCAGTGTCCTCTGTTCTCTCAAAGACTGATAGGGTGATGAGCTGCCTCATCCTGCCATTTGGGGCAAAACTACTAGATGCTCCTTTAGGGCTTTTCACCCAGTGCTCTGAAAGCTCCTTGTAAATACCAGCAGAAATCATTCCCATGGGAATAGACTTCAGTCTGGCTTTGCTTAGGACTTTGAAGCCACTGAACACAGAAGCAGTGAACAGGGCTGGGGAAGAAGAGGAAAGCCTTTCCAGCTGTTCAGTGTCATGAGGAATACTTACAAGTTCCTTAGCTTAGATTAATTCTTGCCACAAGAGCAATTTAGAACTACAGTCTGTACATCGTATTTCTTCATCTTGTAAGGATGTTGACCTTGAGTACTACTGCACCAGTTCTGTTCATCTGGTGTATTTAGCTGTTGCCTCTTCTGCTTCAGAGGAAATTCTGGGTGTTCTAGTACCCCGCCTGATGGATCTCACCAAGTCAGACTGCATCTGGCAAAGAATTTGCTGGCGACTGATTGAATGTGTCCCAGACCGCTGGATGGAGGCAGTGGTCCTTGGTTTTGTGCAGCGAGCACCTGGGTAAGAACTCCGCTTTCCTCCCTGATCCGGAGCAAAAGCTGGAAGTTTTCCATGAATACTTGCAGAATCAGTGTCTGAAAGATGCTGGGGTGTGTTTGTGCAGGCAGTTTATTCTCGGTTCCTGAGAGACTCTGGGGTAAAGTAGTTGATTGTTCCCTCTCATGTAGAACATCCGCCATTCCTTAAAGATCTGTGTCGTGACTTACAGTGAAAAAACAAGTGAAAACATTCCTTGCAATTACTGACTCACTCTTGAAGTTGAGGTGTTTTGGAGACTGTTGCAAATAGCTGCTCACAGAATTCCCTATGATTAGTAGCAGCATGACAGTAATTCCATGGATTCCTAATTTTTGCTCTTGACTTGATTTGCTAGGGCAGATGTCCTGTCTAGGTTGCTGGGAAACCTGGTTGTGAAGAACAAGAAAGCTCAGTTTGTGGTGACACAGAAGATGCTGCTCTTGCAGTATGGCCACACGGTGAGAACTCTGCGTTGAACAGTAACCTGGGAATGCCTTTTTTTTCCCAGGTGCCAGTGTGTTTTTTTAGCTGAGCTGCAGGTCTTCATGGGTAAGATTTAACTCTTTACTCTGAAATCAGTCTCTCTGCACGTACCTGAGCTGTGCAGGTGTTCACTTACGTCCCCTCAGCTGAAGGTATTGAAGAGGGAGAGGTTGAAAGCAGTTGCTATGAGAGCATAGGATTCACGTGCTGTCAGGGTTGATGGTGATGAGCAGAATTACTGTACTCTTTTTCTGGAACCAAATGGTTATTTGTACATAATTTCAGTGTTCTGTGGAGCTCTGATTAATTTAGAATCTGAAAGAAGCCACTGAAGAAGCCATGACCCACCCTTAGGGATAAGAATTAGGTTGAAGAGATGAGGCAAGGACGGTTTGGTTTGTTTTTTTCCTGTGCGCCTAACTTTGGCACAGGGTGTTGGGATGTGTTCTGTGGTTCATGATATTGTTGAGAGATGTTCTCCAGACTTTGTGTCCCATGTTTGCCTGGGACTGTGCTGATCTGGTTTTGATGGTAAAATTACCGCGCTCTATTCCTGTCCTGTTTTTCCATGTATTCTGTCAGCAGCTGCATGTGTGTGTTTGGTTGGTTGGTTGGGGATTTGGTTTTTTTATTTACTCACTTTCCTGTTTCTGTATGTTGTAAACCAGTCCCTCAGAATGAAAAGTTTAATATAGTAGACATGCACACATGTCATTGCTGGCACTTTGTGCCAGCTAAAGTAAGCCCTGTGGTTTTTCATTGCAGACTGCAGTGCTACAGAACCTCCTTGGCTACTTGGCCCTGGATAGCCTTCGGCGTGCCTTGTTGATCAAAGTAAGCTGTAGTAATGCTGTTGGTGAGGTACCTGATGGCAAAACCCTCTGCTCTGTGTGTGTGTGTGTGTCTGTGGGGTGCACAGTTTTGGTACTTCTCTGAGACACTTCTGTTCCTCTCTGTGAGGGTGAGGGAAGCCCTGCCTCAAGTAAATTCTGAATTACAAATCAAAGACTTTCTGCACTGCTGGCATTAGTTTTTCATAATTAATTGCCAAATTCCCTGCCAGGTAGCAAACCTAAGGAGTCTTGCATTCCAGCAGATGTCCCCTGTCCTCCATCCTTCTCAGCTTCCTCTGTTGTGTCCCCTGTTTGCATGGCTGGGCAGATGGCAGCAAGTGATGAAGTTGGTTGAGAGCTGTCTGTGTGCCAAATGGTTGGTGCTTCAAAATCTCTCATCTACCTTTTCCTAGGTGGGGATGCAGATATTTTCTCTCTCCAAGTCAGCAGTGTGATGGAGCTTCTAGGAAATCTGTCTCTCTGAAAACCTCTACCTTTTTTTTTCCTCTCCACTGGTTACATGTTCTAAAATTATAAGCAGATATTGGCTGCTCTGTAAGATTGAACTAAACCCATGTAGTATCACATTGTTTTTTGACAATAATATGTATTGCTTTGTATATACTATTTATTTATGAAAAGTAAGTGTATTTATCACTTTAAAATTTAAAAATCTAAATATTTAATAATATATCAAATGAAAGTGGCGTGGAGGTCTCAGCTGGTCAAACATGGTATGTTTTGGGCCTTGGAATTCAATATTAGCTCCATTTGTAGGAGCGTAAGGTTCACTGGGAAACATGAAGACCCAAGGGCAATCAGAATATACAACATGTTATATGAAAGCACATACCAAAATGTGTTTCAAAAAGGTTACTTACACGTAGAGAAGGTCCATTTCAGGCCAGCTTGAGTTCTCTGCTTCAGGTGCTGCAAGAACTGTTGGAGATGTGGAGCAGCAGCAGTGCTGTGAAACACTCGCCACCTGAGCAGCAGCAGTATATCAGCAAGGCCATACTTATCTGCCTCTTCCACCTGAAGGAGACTGAAATCGAGAGCTGCAGACAAGGTCAGGCAGTGGGAGAAGTGGGGGTTAGATTTATTTAACAGAAGGTCTGACTGTGAGTAGAAAAGCATCTTTTTTGCTCTATGGATAAACAAAATGGTCCCATCTTCATCTTGGCAAATGGGGTAGCCTGCTGGAATCCTGCTGGAATCCTTTTTAGCACCTATATATTACCAAGTGCATACCTTGAAATTACGAGATTGCAGAAGCATCTTTGACCTGAGGTCAAACCCGAATATGGTTTAGGAACCCTTCAGTTTTGTTGCAGGAAAATGAGGATTAACTCTGGTTAGAGGCGTGGTTTGATTTGCAGTTCATAGGCTTAGCGTTGGAGCATGAGTAAGGCTCCAAAGGGTACAGGGAAAAGTATGTCAGGATAAAAAGCTGTTTGGTTGGTGTCGGACTAGCCATGTGCATTCCTCTGTGTTATCCTGCTCCCTGAGTATGAGGTGAGGAGGGATAGTGCGTTACTGCCAAGGATCTCCTGTTCATCATAAACTGTGCAGCACGTTGGAGTCCTAGTCTGAAATTTATGTTCCTGTTGCAATAAAAAATCCCCAAATCGTTCAATGTTTAGAGTTACTTCTGTGCGTGGTTTTTTTGGAAGCAGGTTGACTTACAAGACCTGTTCATCTGTTTCATTCTCAAATTAATTCTTTAGGTGAATAAGTGACCTGTTATTCACTAACAGAACTGTAGTTTTATAATTAGTTTTTTATCTGACAGCTGTTGAGAAGTTAGCTTTTCTGAGTTGAAGGATGTCTGTCTAACAACAGTAAGCTTACCTTGGTAAAGCTGGCAACCATCATTCTGTGTGGGCTGAGAAATACTGCTTTTATTTGCCTGTTTCAACTTACCTAAGTTCTATGGGAAATTTCTCATTCATGATTGTTGTACTGGTCAGAATTTCTAGTTTCCTCTAAACATGACTTAAGTGGGCTTGAAGCATTCCAAAACCAAGCTAAAGATTGACTTGACTTACCACCCTTTTTTGTTTCAGTGAAAACTGAGATACGCCAAATTTAGACTCTATTGTAATGTTTTGTTGACTTTGTACCCCATGAAACAGCATGGGTTTATTGTATTGGGTTAGAACAATATAGCCACTGCAGAAAGAGAAGTCACAGTTGCACTGGCCTTTACTGTCTTCCTGCCAGTGG